TTCAAGTTGGGGGGAGAGGGTTAGGTTTACTCTTTTTCTTCAATTTTTTCCACAAAAATAATTTAACTGAAAATTGGATGAAATTTTGAAGATTTAGATAGTAAGGGGGAAATTGGCAACAACAAAAAAGTTCATATCCTTAAATTTCTAACTAAAATATAAAAGGATAGGGAGTGAATCGAAAGCTACGTACAAGTTCAGAGGGCAAATAACTAGTTAACCCTGAAGTTATTTGCCATGGGTTTTTATATATTTTTTTTAGAAATTCTGGGATTGCATTCATAATATAATAAATAAAAAAAGTCACTAACCACAAAGGGCCATTACAATTTTAATGTTGGGTCCTGGGTGAGTGTGACCGTAACTAAACTGATCACGTGCATCAATTGTTGTATTTTAATAGGGACACGTGTATCTTAATTATTTGCATCCAAAAGCAATTTGGTTTTGATTCTCCAAAAATTATTGGGTGTTACGGCCATATTTGCCACATCATGGTGTACTAATTCACATGTTATCATATCATATGAGTGGTCGAAAAAGTTATTTGCCATGGATTTTTATTTTTATTAGAAATTCTGGGATTGCATTTATAAAACGATCAAAAAAGCCACTAGTTACCATTACAATAGTGGAGCGATCTAACATCAAAATTAAGACAATTTGGGGCCCTTCTACTAAGGATTACGCAGGATCGAAGAAACTTTGACATAGGTGACAGGACCCGACCCGAATTCCCCTTGGAATTCGTGTCAAATCCTGCTTAAACATTTTTTCCCGCTAGAGAAGCATAAAAGGGTCAAGACTTCTACCAAAATTTCGGCAGAGTCTCCCCTGTAAAACGAACATTCCCAAAATTTACACCTACAATAAAAGCACAAATAAGGTACCCAAGCGCTAGCACACACAATTAAAGCACATACAGTTTATAGATTGCCTCTGGCCACAAATCCAACCCTACATGGGCGTATCTAGAGCATACTAAGAATTTCATAAGTTTACAAGTCGAAAACAATAGAAAAGTCACAAAAGAAAGTCTTACGATGGTGAGGGTCGGCGAAGAAAGAGTTTCTGGTCTTGGTTGTTAAGCTGCTCAAATCACAGTCGAGGGGGGGGGCGCAAAACTATAAAAATGTGAGTTAACGAAAGAAAGTCTTAGAGTAAATAAATAGTGGTATAGATATATCAGAAAACCTTTCTCTTACGTATTGGGGGATCGGGCATTTCTGGAGAGCAACAAATGGGTTATATTATAAACAAAAATATAACAAACATACTAACCCCACCTTTTTTAAAACATTTGCCCGAAAGCCATGCATGTAAAACCTTTAAACACGTGTTTGATGTAAAAACTTGTTTAATCCCATAAATCCCTTTTTGTACAAATAAACGCATGTACATACATAGCTATGTAATAGGGGAAAACAATCCAACGTAGGGATTGTTTTACTAGACCACATGGCAGAATCTTCAATGCTCACGTGGCTAGGGAATGAGTAGTCCAACAAGGGGACTATTGCTTCCTAGACACGCAGGGTAGAATTCTCAATTCATGTACGGCTAAAATAAGTCATACGCTCGCCGACAGCCCGTCAAGGCCTTCGGTACATCAGGTTTGTCACGCACCGAACTTGAGGGTCGGTGAAAACCCCGCACCCAGTGCGTGAGAAAATAAAATGTAAAACAAAATAAAAATAAGATGGAACATGGTTTAAAATAAACTTTTCTTATAAAAATATATCCAAAATCATACAACTTTACAATAAATAAAGCTATATCACTCTCATCTAATTCAGCATCAACTGGTTTATTCCTTTACTTGCCCACTAATTCATCTGAAAAATTAAACAGGGTGAGGGTGAGCAACCACAGCTCAGTAGGACATAAGACCTTACCATAGTAGATTGATATAACTAAATTAAGTGACATGCATTCAC